AAAACCCGCAAGGTCTGATGTAAAAGGAAATCTAAGTTTTTGCGCTTTACAACATTGAGGTTCAGAAAATAATCGAAAAAGAAGTTATTTACCATAAAAAGTGAGCAGATTTCTAAGACAACATCGTCATACTCAACTGCATCTTCTGCTTTTGTATTCTGTGGAAAGAGAGTAAGTTCACAATTTCTCATTTCTTCCTCAAGCATCATTATTTCCACTGTGCTAAAATGAAGGAGGGGAGGAAGGGGGAGATTAGCCAATATGATTTAATGAAAAAAAAAACAGAAACAAAGATTACAACTCCAAAACAATATTTAAAAAATTTACCGAGTAATTCTCTCACCTTTCACGCTTCTCGCACCCATTCGCTTGATTGTGAAACTCGGATTCTGGTTGAAAGCTGTGCGACTCCATCGCTCCAAAGGACTTTCAGCATAACTAAAACTTTATTTACAACAACAACAACAATAAACGATTCCAATTAATAATTGTACGGTTCTATAACAGCAACACAATATGAAACATAAGCGAATTTCTGAACAAAAAGATTTTCAAAATAGCAAACGCGAAAATTACAACAATGAGCAAAAACATTATGATTTTCTAGTTCATTGTGAAGTTAGAGTAGCGGAAAAAAGAATTGAGTTTGAGCTTATACTTCCATTAGATTCTATTCTAAGATAGATTTAAAGTTGGCATATTTCGCAGCTGCCCACAACATCAAATAAGCGCCATGCACATATAAAAATGGAGAAAAGTGCAACATCTGTGAGCTCGATGATCAACTTGGCAACTATTACGAGTTCACTGCATGGCAGATTTCGCTATGGAAATGCCAGTCTTCTATACTTAATAACTTTGAGATATAGCGCGTTTGTGATGGATTTTTCTCAACTTTCAACAATTTAACAACTCGCATGAATACACCCTCAAAGCGTTTGAACAGGAACAAGTAAAGAGGTTTGATGCAACAAATTTCAAAAATTAGAGATCTTAGAAATCAATCCCACATGGACCCTTTGAGTTTTGCGTTTCATCGCCAAAAGCAGGTGGTAAGTGCAAAATCGACACATCGAAACTATTTCTTTTCTGAATGAAGACCAAGTCCGCAGGTGGGCAGTGCGTTCCCGCTGAAGTAATTCTGGGCAATCGCAGGATTCTCAAATATCCATGATACTTATCCAAGGGGGAAAGTTTACGTTGTTCTTCTTCAGAAATGGCAAACAGCTGAATATAGAGGTCAGAAGTCACAAACAACTCATCCGCAGGTTGTTTCAGCATCGTCTCGCTGGCTGCTGTTGCAAACACAATGGCATGAGAGTTTCTGAGTAAAGACCGAAGTCGTATCAAGAAC